TAATATGCGTATTGTTTAATAATATATATAATATATTATTATATATATATATATATGTATATATACATATATATATATATATATATATATATAATCATACATAATAAACACACACACACACACACACACACACACATATATAAATATATATGTGTGTGTGTGTGTGTGTGTGTGTGTGTGTGTGTGTGTTTGTGTGTGTGTGCGTGTGTGTGTGTGTGTATGTATGTATATTCATGTATTATGTTGTTGTGTGTGTTGTGTGTGTGTGTGTGTTGTGTGTGTAAGTACATGTGTTTGTATTTCCTCTTTTGTGCGTCATTCTTTTTTTCTTGTAGTTCCTTATCGTATGACATCGGCGACCATTTTATGCCAATCATTCTTGCTTTCCGTGCACTGAATAAGCTCTATCGCTGGCCTCCCACTCCATTCTGCTATTTTTTGAGAAATGTGACCCTCTGTCTTCCTCTTGCCCTTTTTCCTGCCATCTTGCCCGTAAGTGCTAGCTTTCCCATTCCGTCTTTTCTCATGCAATGTCCAAGAAACTGTAGCTGTCATTTCTTAATTGATTTTATCAGCTTTCTTTCAGTGTCTGTTTTAATTAAAACTTCTTTATTCGTTGTATGACTTTCCCAGCCTATTCTCAATAATCTGCGCAAGAACCACAGCTCGGCTGCATTAATTCTCTTCCATTTCTTTAGACACAGTCCATGTCTCACTTCCATATTTTAGGACCGGCAACACGCAACACTCCAATACCCTTAGTCTTGTAGCTACGGTGATCTTTGGATTGCATAAAATTTTCTTTATTTTAGAAAAGGTCTCTCTTGACTTTGCAATTCTTCGTTTGATCTCCCTGTCGCACCAACCATCTGATGTGATCAAGCTTCCTAAATTACTAAACCAGTTCACTTTTTTATTTTATTTTTGTGTTATGAATCCAGAGGTTAAATGATGAAATATTCTTCTCTTTGGTTACTATCATGTACTGTCTTTTTTGTGTTGACACATAAACCCTTTTTTGCACTTTCTAAGACCACCTTATCCACTAATCCTTGAAGTTGTTCCACCGATGTTGCTAACAGAACCATATCATCTGCATAGCGGATGTTATTAATATTGCTCCCTCCTATAACCAT